GACTTCCTATCTTTCCCGCTGTTCCAGCCCGTGCCAGCCATGCTGTACATGTATTGCAAAAGGTGATTGCATTTGGGTTATTCTTGGGGTGTTATGACAGTACTCAAAACATTGCAGGTGTTTTCAGACACTGAAGGAGAGAGACTCTTTGTCTGGGGGGGCTGGCAGTCCTGTCGTGCCAGTCTCTAAAGGATTTCCTCACAGATGAGACCCTGTGCCAGTGTGGATCTCTGATGAAATGAATATGAAACCAGTGACAACAAGTGGGGAGTTTCTAACACAGCCTTTAGGTATCTGCTGTGTGGGAATCTCGACCGTATAGGGAGGTGCAAGGGTATTATTTAAGTAGACACGATACACTACTGTTACAAAAATAAAGCCATTACTTGTCTGTCAAGATAGAGATCAGGGTTGAGCAGACTGTAAATTCTTCTGCGGGCAGCATCTGTGACTTACGCCTTTCCGAGCCTTTAAAACTGCATTGAACAAATTGGAATAAAAATGTCTTCAGAGGGACTATTCTGCAATGACAGGAAATGAACTAGATAACCTAATAGGTTTTTTTCCATAATTCTTTGTTGGAACTTTTATTTTGTGAAAAAGTGAAATTGAAGCCATGGGCTGAACTGACACTTTAATTAATCAGACTGTCTATTTAACTCGATTCAGCAGGTGGTGTAGAGTGACTTTCATTAGTCCCTGACACTCCAGCAGAGCTCGTGAACCTGCTGAAATGCATATTTCTCACGGTGTTCTGAAAAATGCAGAAGTTTCCCTTTATTTTCTTGTTTTCTTGTTGATAGATTAATTTTCTCCTAACACAATTTATTTTATGAGTGACCAGACTAATAAAGCTGGTTTATACACCAAATGCCAGAAGTAGGAGGAAATTTTTTCAGATACTACACAAAAAATTTGGCGATGTTCAGCCCTAAAAGCTAGAAAAATGCTTATGTAGGAAATAGCAGAAAAGTGCCAACCAGCTTTAACAGAATTTCTGCAAGGTCTTGTAAGGACTGCAGAGCTGAGAGAAAGGTCTTTTTCTGGAGATTGGCAGGATATATTAGGCAGCCCTATGTAAATATTCTATGTAAATATTGGGTGTGCATTTAATAATTACATTTTTATGTAATGTGGTGAAGTAAAAGAATATTTTTCATGAAGGAACTTTCTATTTATGGAGTAACATGATTTCTTTGTCTAGTGTAAAGGTGAGTATTGGTAGCTAAGGCGAGACCAAGGTTGGTAGATGTTTGATACCATAAATTGCAACTATGCACAGTTTGTGTTTTACCGGTTAGCTGCTTTCTGTTATGTCTCTCAGGAAAAGGACTAGGTGGTCTAAAATTGTCTTTGGGAATTTCCACTCTACAGCAGGTCTCCCCGCAGTGTAAAGCTGAGACTACCATCACCTGAACATGCTTTCAGGTTTGTAACATTCATTTTTGGGTATATAAAAAAGCTGAGCATGAACTAGAGTGGCAGACCTGCTGTGAGGACTGAGCAGCTCCTGCACAGCTCTGAAGTCAGGTGAACGTACAGATGCTGTAAAGCATGTTTGCCCAGCACCTGCATTGGGCCCCTAAGCACTGGGGTAGCATATCATGCAGAGGATATTGTACCATTACCTTTCCTCTGAAGCATGGAAAAAAGATAAAGCTCTCAAAGCATTATGAAGCAGCTGGGTTAGGACCTGGGAGACATACACCACTTTGTGGTGTAAAATGGATGAGACGACCTATAGTGACCCCATCTTGATAATTTTTTGCTGTGGCTGAAAGCAGCCTTTCCCTTATGCTATATAAAACATTTCTGTCAGCATAAACTGTGTTGCCCCTTGATCCCGTTTATCTCTATTGAACAAAAGTAATTAGTGACAGAAGATAGAATAAAACATCACCGAAAGGGCAGCCCAAGCCTGTGCACACACTCAGTCAAAGTGGTGATGAACAAGAGCTTTGTGGGCACTTTGTGGGCTCCCCAGCTCCAAAATTCAACCCTTTCTCTTCTCTCCAACAACAGCTAAGCTCATCCTTAAGCAATCTGTCTCCCACTCTACATGCAAATAATTTGCTCAGTCCTACCTTCCTTCTCTTCAACATATGTACGTTTTAGGTTTCGGCCTCTGGAGAGTCTACATGTAGCTCTGAAGTTCATACCTTATATACAAGTCCACAAACATGCAGTATCCAAATGCCTTCCCCAGGATTGCATCGGTGGTCAGTCGCTCTTTAGATAACACCTCCTTTCAGGCTAATAGTACTAACTCTTCTTCTGGACAGGAATGAAGACAGACAGGTTCCTTTAAGCCATGCCCCAAACTCCCATATCATGGTGTGTTTTTCTTAGAGGAACAGTGGCTTTTCTTTGCTTCGCTTTGTGAAATTGCTGTTTGAGTGTCAGAGCAGCAATTGCAGAAAATGCAGAGCAGAAGAAAGAGTAAAATGAGATAATGCCCAGGTCTAAAGTAAAAGTTACTCTACTCAATGCCTAGTACAGATAGATTCTTGTAGAAACTGGCACACTTCCTTAGCTCATTGAAGAAGTGCAACAGTGCAATACAACATCTTTCTCTCCAGTAAATCTTTAGAAAAAATCACTGCTGCATTTTCCTTTCCACTTTCCTTTAATTCCTTACCTTACCTGTAATTCCTGTTTACCACTTTTCACCACTGAGATCACAGTGGATATGATAATTAATTTTCTTCTCATGTGGATGGGTATGTATTTGAAAATCCTTCTCCCCCATTCCTTGTGGTTTGTTGGGAAAGCATGTTGTGACTTCGACTTCCCATAGTTTCCTTCAGTAACCATTACAGGTTAAATACCTTGTATTGAGGTCTCAGTACAATATTTTCAATCTCCATTTACTCATTTATTAATAAGTAAGTTTCTATTTGAAGCTGCTTTGTTATACAAAAGCAAATATGATTATATACCATGATAATATGACAGGCCCTCTCTACAATTGTAAAATTTCGTAGCCTCAACTAATTTTAAAAATTCAATTTTAAAAGTCCCATGGTATCGTAGAATCATAGAATGTTTTGTGTTGGAAGGGACCCCTAGAGGCCATCTAGTCTAAGCCCCCTGCAGTAAGTAGGGACACCGCTAACTAGATCAGGCTGCTCAGAGCCCCGTCCAACCTGGTCTTGAATGTTTCCAGGGATGGGGCCTCCACCACCTCTCTGGGCAACCTGTGCCAGTGTTTCACCACCCTCATTGTAAAGAATTTCTTCCTTATATCCAGTCTAAACCTACCCTGCTTCAGTTTAAAACCATTACCGCTTGTCCTGTCACAGCTGGCCCTACTAAAAAGATTGTCCCCATCTTTCCTATCGGCCCCCTTTAAGCACTGAAAGGCTGCAATAAGGTCTCCCTGCAGCCTTCTCTTCTCCAGGCTGAACAACCCCAACTCTCTCAGCCTGTCCTCATAGCAGAGGTGCTCCAGCCCTCGGATCATTTTTGTGGCCCTCCTCTGGACCCGCTCCAACAGTTCCATGTCCTTCTTGTGCTGAGGGCTCCAGAGCTGGACGCAGGGCTCCAGGTGAGGTCTCACCAGAGCAGAGTAGAGGGGCAGAATCACCTCCCTCGACCTGCTGGCCACGCTTCTCTTGATGCTACCTATATCTAGTTTTCATACTATTTTCTTCAAAACTGGGGAATAAGCATTCAAAATTTTGTCTGTTTCTTATACTCTGAGGTTCCAGTGCGAATTACATTCTGTGAATACAAATTAGGATGACTGATTCTATCACATAGATAGTTTTCAAGAAGGAAATAAGCAGGTGTGACCTCCCAAAAAAATTCCATGTCTTATTGTAGAAGTATTTGTATCCACATTATCTGGAAGCTTGAGTGTCTTCTAAACCAGCAAAAGAACTCTTCTCTCAGCAGGGTCACATGTGTGTGTCCCCTCAAATTAAGAAAACAAACCAGTAATCAGAATAGATTAGAATCCGCATTTAGAACTTTCCCAATGAATAGCTGTTGTGCAGATTTGACTGCTGGATTAATTCATTAGGACAGTGGCAATGAATTTTTAATTACTATCTATTTAAATTTCAGAATACCTGCACTGTTCCAGTGAGACCTTCAAAAGTTCTACTGCATACAAGACGCTCCATTTATTTAATTGTTTATAGAGGATGTATAAATCTATTTAAAATAAAGAGATGTATGATAACAGAAAGGTGAAAATGAAAGAGGAGCAGAAACAGATGGTGTGTAACATCCTGATGATAGTTTACACTAATATTTCATTCATCAGTGGAAAGAAAAAGCTACAGGCAGTTCATAATCACTACAGAGATACAGTCATCTCCCAAGTGTGCAAGTGACTGTCAAATGCTAAATCCAGCATCACACCAAATAGTGTTTTTAACACGTGTTTTTATGTTGTGGTGGTTTTGTTTTTAATTAACCACTTAATTTCCATACAGATGAATAAAGATACAACAAGCTGAAAGTCTTGATTCCTCTTTCCCTTAGCGATAAGAAAATAAATTAACTTCCTAAGAGTAAGAGTTACAAGGTAGAGAACTTTTTCAGTAAAATGGCCACTCAGAGAAAAGAATTTGAATATGCATGTGATGCCTGCATGACTGTCTCCTGTGCAGATAAAATAATGATGAGTAACTCCAGCCGACTGCTTTTAGTATTGTATTCAACCTACTATCAAATTGGGCTATGAGAGGAGGCAACTAGAGATTGACTGTAAAGAGAAACTCCTTCACCTCCAGAAAACCAGATGCAAATGCAAAATAAATCAGTAGTGACCAAAAGTCACTGCTTTGCAATGGCTGAACCAGTATCACAGCCTGAGCTCATTCCTGAACAACATCATTTTGTGTCAAAATAGAAACAATCTTAATTGTCAGATGTAGCTGTATGAATACAGAGGCAGAGACTGATGCGCTACCTCACTGTTACTTAGGGTTCGCTGTTGGCCATCCCTGAGAGTGTGCCGCTGTACTGTGTGTGTAAATAAGCAGTACTACCCGGAGCAAGGTATGGAGTCGCCTTGGCACTAAATTCAAAGTGACCCAATGAAGCTGATACCCAGCGGCTGCAGGAAAGGTACGTCATTGCGCTTATTTTATAATATTAGCATGTATTCTGCAAAAGTTAGTATCTGCTATGTTTTAGTATTTTAGGTAATAATTGTAATAATTATTAATATATTTTCTAAGCAAACAAAAGAAAGAACCTGGTTTCTTTCCCAAAAATTTGGACACACTGGCCTTACCCCGAAGACCTGGAGAAGCAGCCAACAGATGGAATGCTCCTTCTAATCGCGCAGGCAGGGCAGAAAACTGGCAATATTAATTGTAGCAAAGTATGAGGTTTTGGGCAGTATACCTTGGTTCCATTCCCTGTGTTCTCTTGGGGTCCACTCTCACCCTTTAATTTTTCCCTGTGCTGTTTCTGACACTGCTGCTATAAAACAGTATGCAGGGTATGAAATCTGTCCTCTGCCAGCTCTTTAAGAAAATGCTCTGAGCTAAAGAAGAGTCAGAACAAGGTAAGACACTTAGCAGAACGGTTATCAAAATTAAATATGAAAAAGTTGGAAAGGAGAATGAACATTACGAGTGAGGACCAAAGCCAAACTTTAGTCACAAGCCACTTTATATGGAGAGCAGGCTATTCCCTACCTACCTGTTGTGGGGTTTCTTATATTCATACAAAGGTCAGATATCAATCACCAGCAAAGATGAGATCTGTGAACTAGAGGGACAACAGGCTGCGTGAACAATGTCAAAAACAATGCTTCTGGTCTCTCTTGCATCCTAAACTATTTGTTTGGCAGATGTTAGAGTGGATATCCAAACAAATCGTCCGGTGTAATAAAGGAAAATGCTTGCTGCCAGTCATCTGTATCTCGCTTGTATCTCGCCTAATCCAATGATTCACCTTGCTTTTAAACTGCTTACATTTCTTTTGAATTTTTCGGCACCTTGATAACCTGTGGAAGAATGTAGTGCTGAATAAAGTGACACATGCGCTCTCAGACAAAGAATTGCCACTGTTGAGGGTGGCTAAATTGTTCACTGCTTTGATTTTTTTAAAGAAAAAATGGCAGATCAGCCTTGAGTCTATTTATTACCAAGGCAATAGGTCATTCTTGTACTCTTGCTTTTCTCTTTTGCTCTCAGTCTACAGTAAAGCCTCTTTGAATTAATTTCTTTTCAAATATGGGTTGAATGAATGTACAGAATATGCATGTGGGCATAAAAGGTGCTACAACTTCTGAAAACATGTCTGTTGACTTACTGACCTATTTTCCTCAGGTGCTTTAATGCCATACAGGAATTCTTTTCAAGAAGATTTTTTTCGTAATAGAAATAACAGATGGTGGGAATAAACTGCCTTTATGAGAATTTATGTGTTACATAGATATTTGTATTTGTTAAACAAACAGAGGGTTTGAGCCAAACTTTTAGGTGCCTGAAGGTACATAGGCTCAGTGGGAGCTATGACTCTTCCATCATCCAATGTAATGCTCTGTAACCATTCAGTTAATAGTGTTGCTTTAACAGGAAAATGAACCACAAGTTTATATTTCTATTTTTGTTTGTTTATTTGTTTGCTTTATTCCACTGTCTTTTTATATGCTTGCACAACTGCAAGAGATAAAGATCTTGTGTTGAAAAAACTTTGCTCCCAACAATGGCCCTCAGCATTTAAGACTGCTTGCCCATAGCAAGGACAGCCAGAGTCTGTCCTGCCTGATTTCTTTACAACTATGTAATCCGAGAAGCTATCGATTTTGTTTTATTACTGTGCTTCAGCATTGCCCAGACCTCGATGATCCCCTGCCAGGCATGCCAGGTCATCTGTTTCTTGCATTTCAGCTCTGTGCTGCCTCTTGGAAGTTCGCCTCTTACTCCCTGAAGCCTACGTGATCTGGATCAGCAACATAAACTTTTACGGTTTTGACTCTGTGTTGCCCTTGTAGACTTCCTGTCAATCTCCTTAGCCTGGCTGATCTGTAGTTTCCCTCCTGGGCTTTACTGCCTGAACTTCAGATTTCTGTGGCCTGTAGAGGTTAGAGCACCAGTTCAGATTTAGACGTCTAACTTTTTAGATATCTGTAGTTGCATCTACAGTGTAGGTGTCTGCATGTAGGTGTCTGGGCTCCCAGTATACACAGGAAGGGATGCAGACACCTCCAGAGGGCAGCTCACTTGACTTACCTTTGATGATGAGCTTAACCATCCTCTACTTGTGCCTGGTTATCAGCATGGACTGTAAAGGCAACTGGGAGTGACTGTGACTTAAATGCTTAACTTCCTGATGCATAAGCTTTAGCAGATGAGTCTCACTCAAAACCACCTGTAAAGCATGGATCTGCTGCCTACCTGGAGCGCTTGCTCTCCAGCAGGAAATAAACACACAGGACAACAGGACGCAGGCTCAGTGCATAGGATTTCAGCTGGTCTACCGATTTGTGTAGAATGAGATCCTGCATCTTGTGCCGGGCACGTGGCAGAAGGTAAATCCCACAATCCAGACTAACTTTATCCATATTTATCCTGTTCTTTTACACTTTTCACTCTCAAATTAATCCCAAATATAAACTTGTCTTGTCAGTACAAATTGTTATCTGAAGAACAACAAGTATTTTTTTTGAAAACTATGTATTTTGGCCAGAAAAAATATTAATAGGCCTTTGTGTATGAACTGTAACTGAGGGAGAAACAACTACTTGTCTGGAAGTTGCTAGTCTTGAGGCACCATAGGAGCTATTTGTTGATACCAGGCATTGCTCTATTCTGCTGTATTGCCACTAACAAATGTGATTTTTAAATGGTTTGCATAATTATTCTTATAGAGGGTTTTAAAGCACATTGTACTTGACTAAAATAGGTGATAATGCAGATACGGTGTTAAAGACCCAAGGCAAATGTTCATCTGTGGACGTATTAGGGATATGGTGGTCTCCAGAGAAGCACTTTCCAAACTGGAGCTTGCAATGCCACTTAGAAATACGAGTAGAATCATGAGCAGAAGTTTTGCTCTTGGTGTTCCTCTAAGCAAAATAAATGATCAGTAACATGGCAGTGGTAATACCATCACCACAACACAATTTACTCAGATCTCTGTCTCTCCCATATGCAAGCTAATTATGTGATTATGCAAGGAGAAAGAGCCAACTCTTCAATATGTATGACAAAAAATGCACTGTGTGTTCATTTGTGTTCATTGTCTGTATTGCCTCTTCATTTTTGCAATTCTATAAGCTTACTATTTTCTCTTTAAAAAAAATACTTCACAAGGCACAGATACCAATGAACTTGTGATTTGAGACTTTATTGTTTCACATGTGGCACATGACCCATAAAATCAGGATATGAGATGAAATTTTTCAGAATAAGCAATCTGAGGTCTAGTAATGAACAAGGGCCTTTCTTTAGTAAATTGTCAGTGTATATCAGACACCGCAAAATGCACATGAAGAGTTTCTGAATGGGAGAATATTGGATTCCCAGCAGTAGAAATTGCCTTTGGTTTTCCACAGTACAGAAATTTGCAGTTGTTGCTTCAATGGCTGGGTAATTTCATCAGCAAAGCATGGCTGGCCAAAGAGATATTGGGGGTAGAATACAGGAAGAGCAATTTGTTAACACCTCTATAAACTGGGAATGGCTTCAAAGAATCAGCATCAAAATACTTCTACAGTACTCTGGTCCAGTCTCTGCCAGCCATTTCCCACTTACCTACAGCTCTTGCATATGCTCAATATATGGAAGACACTGGGCACTTCAGAACAAGCCTACAGTCTGCACCTAAATCAGACATTTGATTAGAAAATTGTGTTGCTTTCTCTTTACAAAACATCTTTTAGGTTATGTTCTTTTTTTATTATTCTTCGGGAGTTTGGGGCTTGTAAAGTATGTTCTGTTAATATTTTCAAGGCTTTTACATAATCACAATGACTAGAAATTTACATAAAAAGCCAAAAATAGAGACTATCATGTAAACTTTAGACTTGAGCTCTCAAAACCCCCAAACTACTGTATTATGAGACTCATATTAAAACTGTTAGTGTTTGCCCAGACAGGAGTTTTACTATATGGTAGAAAGAACTTGAAACTGCTTGCACACAACTTTTAGGTTTGTTTAGTGTTACTGGCCTCATCACCTTCAAATGACATTAGGGGGATCCTCAACACATCTGAAGATCAGATAGCAACTAAGACACCAGAAAGTGAGGGTTATGTGTACTCTAATTTGAAGGTCAGGGGTACTTACAGAGTAACCTGGCAGTTCATGTGCCAATTTTGACTTTACAACTCTGTTTGTAAATATTGGTTATAATCAAATGAGTAAATTAAGGTTTCTAGAAGTGTTTTGAACAAACTATGCCAAAGTTCCAAACTATCTAGATAATTAAACTTTCCGTCTTAATGGATTTCTGAGTGCATTTGATCTTAAATACATCTCTAAGACTTAAACACTGAAATTCACCTTCTACCACACATATTGCTAGTGTTTGGCAATTATTTGTTTTTTTTATTATGGTAAGGCCCCTGTAAACCACCTTCACAATGTAAAACATCTGTACAATTCAGGGAAATTAAGTCTACACCCTTTAAAAGCACTACTACTCTGCTATTGTACAATAAAAGCATTTTATTATAAAAGAAAATATAAGGGCCAAGAATCTAATTGAGAAAAAATCACATCTTTATGAGCTCTTAAGAGAGCTCTATGCAACTGTAACACAGTCAGCCAGGATCATCTAGAAATTTGCATATTCTCATATAAAATATGTTACAGAACTTGTTTTGAATTCTACTTGTATATGCACTTTACCTCTGGGCGTGTTCTCTCTTGTTTTGGAAGATCTGACTGAAACTTCTCTTTTTCCATCCCTTTCTCAGCAAATCAGGAAGGGAATTGCTCAACAGCAGATTTAACAACCAAAGAACAATTACAGCTTTTGTAGGATTCCTTTATAATCATAAAATGAAAGAAAAAAAAAATGGCTCAGCATATAGAAAGATATTCTGTAAGAATCCGATTACATAGGAGTATAGAATTAACACCAAATAGGTAAAATTCTGTGGGTAGAAGTACAT